GAGAAGCAGACTCCCTGCTGAGCAGGGAGCCCAATGTGGGACTCGATCCCGGGACTCTGGGATCATGACCTGAGCCAAAGGCAGTCGCTCAACCAACTCAGTCACCCAGGCGCCCAATCCTTATCTTTCCCCCAGTATAAAAACCCACTCAAGAGAGCTGAACAGAGATGCCTAACATCATGCCTCAATCATACTGTCTCCCCTTTTATCATGTCAGTCAGCTGGCTCAGAGGGATGGCGATAGAAGGTATGGTTTCATACTGAATCACACGCTGTAATCTATACCTTTAAGAGCCTCTAGCTGCTTCTCTGATGCCTTTATTTTTACTAGAAGCGGGGGGGGGGGGGGGGGGGGGAGCCAAGGAACCACATTCTTGGCTGACATCCCCTCAGTTTGTATTTGATTTGCAATCCATTTAGCATGGACCTACAGACTCCAGTTCTCACTTATGTTTTTCCTCCTGTTTCTGAGTGCAGCACTTGTACATAAGCAACCCAGGGATGGCCTGGAAACCAACCCATTACCAAAAATCCTTCCTCACCAGCCTCTGTCTTCTTTTTTTCCTGTGCACTAAGTCATTTTTTTTTTAAGTAGGTTCCACACTCAATGTGGGGCTTGAATTCATGATCCTGATATCAAGAATCACATGCTCTACAAACTGAGCCAGCCAGGCGCTCCCCTCTTAGTCATTATTATTTGAATTAAAATCAGGGGTTATATTAAATATCCCATCCTTATCACCAACTGCAAACATTTCACAAATATTGTAATTCAAAATACTTGCAAGACTTCACAGAACATACTCATGTGAGGTTTTCTTAAAAGCAAAGGATGTAACATAGCAAGAGAAAGAAATGCAGGGCCATATTGGGGGTCAAACATCCACGCAGTTTCCCAGATTCTTATTCACACACTCCTGTGATTCACTCCCAGATTAAGCCACAAATATGTGAGTGATGAACCCTGGCTTCCAGAGTCAGAAGATTCCAGTAGGAGTTTTTATGCCTTTCTGGTAACACAGTCAAGCCAGACTGTCTAACCATTATGCCAGTTGGAAACCATCAGCAACCAAACTGGGACTAGGTGTGGTCAGGAAATTTCTGGATATTAAACAACACATAATAAATCCCATGGCCCTTATCTCAGCAGAGTGTCAAAGACAGATACTCAGAAGTTCCTAGAAATAAAGCTAGAACTTTTTCAGTCCAATTTTAAGCTAATTCTATCTTAAGATGAAACAAATGCACAATATATAAAAATGTGGGGAATGCTGCTAACATAGTAATTACAGGGAAACTTATAAAATGACTAAATTAGAAGGGAGTTTTCAAAATAAATAATATAGTCCACCTTAAGAAAGTAGGAAAAAGACAAACTAAATCCTATAGGCAACCCTATTTACTCCATCATCTCCCTCTCCTCGTGCCTTGGGAGTAGTCCTGCCTCAGTGGCAGCATAAATTGGCAACTCAGGAAAGCTGTTTCTATGTGAGTCACCAAGAACACCGAGTAAGTCAGGACGCCTGGGTGACTCAGTAAGTTGAGCGTCTGCCTTCAGCTCAGGTCAGGATCCCAGGGTCCTAGGATCGAGTCCCTCTTTGGGCTCCTTGCTCAGCAGGGAACCTGCTTCTTCCTCTGCCTGCCACTCCCCCTGCTGGTGCTTTCTCTCTCTCTCTCTCTGACAAATAAATAAAATCTTAAAAAAAAAAAAAAGAATATTGGGTAAGTCACAAAAGCCACATCCCTGGAATCCCAGATCTCCCTTCTCTCAATCCATTTTCCTGCCAGCGCAGCAACAGTTCTGACTGAGGCATCTAGAGTCTAAGGGAATCCACAGATATTTAGGTTATTTGTCCTGGAAGTGATCTTGGCCACAGGAAACGGCTCTGGAACTCCTGAAGATTTCTGTACTCTTCTCATCCTACTCAGCCATAATACGGGAATACTATGAGCAGGTACCTTTCGTGGGGCATCTGTCCAGTGTGCTGCAATCTCTCTCACTCCGTATTAATCACACTTTGTGTCCATGTCCATTATAGTTCCCACCTGGCTCCTGTGGTCTTCCAGCCAGTGACATCTACCTACTGAATTCTGAACTCAGGCTCCTTGCCAGGTACCGGAGGCCAGTCTCCTCTTAATAGTGCTTGCGCATATGAAACATTCCATGGGGACAAGGGACTAAACTCATTCTGCTTCCAGATGCACTGGAGGTTGTCACAAAAACCTCCCCACATAGTTACTTACGGACCCACAAATTAAACTAGCACCCAGGCTGCATGACAGGTCTCACAAAGTTCCTAAGTCTTTCCTATAAGACCTTGGGTAGCAATGCAAAGTAGGCCAAACCTGGAGTGAGAGCTTTTCTCTGCCATCATCGTGTCCCCTCTGAGACATGAAAAACTGGGGACTCCCACAAACTTTATCCTTTCATGTTGGTAGAACACAACTGTGTCCTCAACACACAATGAGCAGAACCTTCCAGATTAAAAGTAGTTCAAAGAGGGGCACCTGCGTGGCTCATTCAGTTAAGCATCTGCCTTCAACTCGGGTCATGATTCCCAGGACCCTGAGATCGAGCAGGGAGCCTGCTTCTCCCTCTCCCTCTGTGCAGCCCCCCACCCCCGCTCGGGCTCTCTCTCTAATAAATAAACAAAACCTTAAAAAAAAAAAAGTGGCTCAAAGAATAAGCCCTTTATTATTGTACAAACATGAGTGAGGTGAGGCATGTGCTTCCAGGGCTGGAGGCCATGAGACAATACACATCCACAATGAGCATCGCACAAGATGAAAAAGTCCATGAAGATAAACCTTTGCAAGCGACCTGGAAAACCCACCTTGTGTGATTTTTTCCATGCTTAACCCAGACAAAAGGGAGGAAATGAGGCCCCCCATGGGCCATGGAGGCCAATCATGACTCCTTCTAGGGACTGTGGAGACAGCACAGGTCTACCTGCCTAAGCATGCTGGAGTGACTGACACACTGTGGGACTGACAGATGGTCATAGTGGGACGGCTTTTGCCACTGGCAAAGGGACTTGGCAATTTACAACGTGCAACACAGCTCCTGATAGCACCTGACATACCAGGCACTCACAAGGAACCTCCCCAGTGCAGAGGTTCCTATGTCTGAGGTACCACTTCGGAATGATGGCTCCCTCACAAAGCCTACTCTCAGAGCTTCACTCTGGAGAGAGCTGTTAGGCTGAACAAGGAGATAGCACATTCCCTGTACTGCTGAGGCCTTTGTCCAGTGTGGATTTTCCAGTGCTGAATAAAGTTTGGTGCCTGGGTAAAGACTGTCCTACGTCTGCTGCACTCATAATCACTGCTAGGAATTCTCAAATGGACAATAAGTTGGGGGCCTTGGCTAAAGGATTCCCCACATCTGCTGTGGTATTAAGGCTTTTCTCCAGTATGAATCTTCTGATGGAGAACAAGTGTGTGTTTGCGGTTAAACTCTTTCCCACATTTGCTGCACACGTAAGGCCGTTCTCCAGTATGAACCTTCCAGTGCCGAATAAGATTTGGCCTTTGGGTAAAGGCTTTCCCACATCTGCTGCACTCGTAAGGATTTTCTCCAGAGTGAACTTTCTGGTGCTGAATGAGTTTAGAGATGCAGCTAAAGGCTTTCCCACATCGGCTGCACTCATAATCACTGCTATGAATTCTCCAGTGTACATTAAGGTGGGAACTTTGGCTAAAGGCCTTCCCACACTCACTGCACTCATAAGGCCTTTCTCCAGTGTGAGTCCTCTGGTGCAGAACAAGTGTGTGTTTGCGGCTGAACTCTTTCCCACATGTGCTACAGACATAAGGCCTTGCTCCCGTGTGAACTTCTTGGTGTCTAATGAGGTTAGACTTACTACTAAAGAATTTTCCACAATTACTGCACTGATAGAGTCTTTCACCCGTGTGAACTCGCCTGTGTTCAATCAGGCCAGAGATTTGTCTAAAGAATTTCCCACATTCACTGCACTCATAAGGCCTTTCTCCAGTGTGTATGGTCTCATGTTTAAAAAGGTCACAGCTTTGACTAAAGAATTTCCCACATTTGCTGCACTCATAAGGCCTTTCTCCAGTGTGGATTCTCCGGTGCCGAGTAAGTGTGTCTTTGCGGGTGAACAATTTCCCACATTCGATGCACTTGTGATGCCGCTGTCCAGGGTGAAGGGCTCCCCCAAGCCTGGTGTTCTTGTGGGGCTTCATCCTAATGTGGGGGACCTGGTGCTGATGAAGGTCAGAGGTGACTGTAAAGTCCCTTCTACCCTCACTGTGTGTATAGGTCTTCTCTGGCACATAGAATCTGCAGCTGTTCACCGAGTCCCTGCCCTCATCTCTTCTGAAGGATTTCTCTGCAGTGTGGTGCTGATGGACGTTTGCACTGAGCCAGAAGTGCTTCCAACAGGCCCCACCCGTGTGTGGTTCCAGCCTGGCTTCTCCCCCCTGGTATTCAGTCAGGTGTAAGATTTCTTTCAATATTGAGCCAGATATGTCACATGGCTGGGGCTTCAGACCTGCCACTGGAGTCCTGACTTGTGACCCTCCTTCTAAAGAAACACTCTGCTCAGGGGACGTAGCCTCATCCTCCACTGCACACCAACCACCTGAAAGCAGAGAAGTACTGTTGACATGCATGTCAGACTTCCAGGTAGGGGCAACCCCATCACTAATGTGTGTACAACACACCTGGGAATACCTCAGTGGGACTGTTTACAGGACAAGAGAGGTAGGGACAGGCTGAGGAAGGGGTTACAATGCAGACCAGGTCTCTGAAGGTCACTGAATGAAGGGAGCCTCCTGAGGACAAGGATATGTGGACAGAGAACAGAGAACAGCAAATGGCTTCCAGTAGGTATCTGGCTGTCGAGACAGGGCACGTGCAGGCCCAGGAAGACCCACTTACAAGTGTATAGCTGGGGCTCAAGGGTTATTTAAGGATACGTGCGCATCTCATGACGTGTTAAGTGTACGCCAAAGCTGCAGAACAATGCAGACCCAGCGGGGCAGGGGGGGCAGCCTGGGTGCTGGGCAAATGGAAGATGGCAAGGGGCTAGAAGGCATACAGGAGATAAGCTGCAATGTCAAGAATGGGGAAGGACGGGTGCCAAGGATGGCCACCAGCCTTGAAGCCGAACACTGGTGTAAAAAGTTAGTACTGCTAGTTTTGAACCTAGCCTTGACATCATGCCCTTCCCTCATATCCACTCACCAAGTCCAGGTCCCTTCTGAGCCTCTCTTTCTGAGACTGGGGTCATATCCACCTGGGCAGGCATCTGGGGATCTTCCTTTTGCTCCAGTTGGGCGACTGAGTGTGATCTGGAGGATACAATTCCTAAGAGAGACACAGGACAGGTGAGCAACCACTACTGGCCAGAGCAAGACATCCGATGACACTCCATAAGTTAAAAAAAAAAAAATTATTACCAAAAAAAACCTCGTGGGGGGGCGGTGCCTGGGTGGCTCAGTTGGTTGAGCGTCTGACTCTTGGTTTCAGCTCAAGTCATGATCTCAGGGTCATGGGATTGAGCCCCGTGTTGGGCTCCATGCTCAGCACGGAGTCTGCTTGGGATTCTCTCCCTCTCCTGCCCCTCCCCCCACGCATGCTCTCTCGCTCTCTCTCTCTCTCTAAAATGAATAAATAAAATCTTTTAAAAATTAAAAAAAAAAAACCTTGAAGGAAGGTTTTAGAGGAACTGCACAAAGGTCCCCATAAGTAGTGACTATGTGAGTGCCTGTAACTCCTGGTACAATTAAGCCCCAGAAAATGTCCCCTAGAGAAAGGGAGCTGATCTTTAGGCACAGAGGTGCCATAATTCTGGACATTCCCCAGCCCCCAAAATGACCAAGACTACGGATCCACTGGGCAAACGACACCTTATGACTCCCAAGCCCTTTGCTGCATGGCTTCAGGACTGGCTCACTAAGAGATGAGAACACTCCATACAGCACAAACCCAGCACTCACAGCACCTACTCCAGAAAACCTGGAAAGAAAGCAGTACCTATGATCTGACCATGGGAAGGACAGAGCAGTCCCTGGAGAAAAAGAGAAAGCAGATGGGATTGGCATGCAGACCTTACCCAGTGAGGCTAAAAGTGCAAAGTTTTCCAGCATCACATCCTGATATAAAAGTCTCTGAGAATCATCAAGGAGCATCCATTCTTCCCGGGAGAAGGACACAAACACATCCTCTGAGATCACACAGACCTGCAATTACATGGCCAACAAGGTCCAGGAAGTCTCTTGACTGAGTATCCTCACTCTATCCACCCACAACAATGTCATGCTCACCCACTTCCCCACTTGCCAGCCAATCCCCCCAGGGGTACCCTAAACCATGCCTCCTAGACATACGCCTGGGCTCCCTGTTCTCACAGAAGCCCCCGGTAACGGGGCTGCAGGACCATCAGTTCCCACTGACTCCTCTTGTGCACATCACTTCTCAGACCACCCCTCCCTCACAGCTTCAGCTACCCATCACAACTCTTCTCACCCACACCACAGACAGCACACCAGACTCCTCACATGTTGCTCTGCACACAGCATGGAGAGAGCGCTTGGCAATACCACCAGGATCCCGTCCTGCCCCAAACCTCCAGTGGCCCCAAGTGCCAAAGGAAAGCCCCCATTCCTGCTTGGAGGCCTCCCAATCTGTACCTTTTCTTCAATCTCAGGCACCCAGGACTACAGGCATATTTCAGGTACCCTCAGCCTTCTTCCGGTTCTCCGCTACACACTGTATTAGTTTCCTATAGCTGCTCTAACAAATCGTTACCAGCTCTGCGGCTTAAGTCAACACAAATTTTTCTTCTTACAGTTGTAAAGATTATAAATCCAAAATGGGCTTCACCAGGATAAAAACAAGAAGTTATCAGGATTGTGTTCCGTCTGGCAGTTCTACAAAAGAATCTGTTTCCTTCCCTTTCCCAATTTCTGAAGACCTCCTGCATTCCTTGACTCCCTGCCCTTTCCTCCGTCTTCAAAGCCAGCAATTACTATCACTCTGACCTCTGTTTACTTCCTGAAATCTTTGACTCCATCCTCCTGCGACTACACTGGGCCCACCGGATAATCTCTCCATGTTGTTAATATACTTAATTTAATCACACACATAAAGTCCCTTTTGCCACATGAGGTAACATATCCAGAGGTTCAAGGGATTAGAACATGCATGGCTTTGGGAAGCCATTATTTTACCTCTTAGACACATGCTGTGCCCTCACAGCCCGACCTTCTTATCCCCACCTAATCCTCTGAACATCCATTTGACAACAGACCTTCCGGGTTCAGCTGATGGCCGCAGCATGTTCACACCTTTGAGTCATCTCTGCCTCCCCACCTTCCCTCTCGCAATGCACTTCAGCAAACAAAACAGGCCCGAGTAAAGTAAGGAAAACACAACCCGTTCTGCCCCCTTTACAGCAATCACTCTGACACAGCTCATCAATATTCCCTGGGACTATAGTCACAGCCTCCTCCTTGGTTCTCCTGTGGTGTGACCACATATAAACGTAAAATTCTTCCAGTTATAAAATAAATAAGTCATGGGGGTGAAAAGTATAACATAAGAAATATAGTCAACAATACTGTAATAATTTGGTATAGTGACTAGACTCATCTTGCTGAGCATTTCATAATGTATTTAACTGTCAAAGCACTATTGTGAAAGTTAATACAAGGAAACCTCACTAAAATGGACTTGGGAGGTACGGGAAGGGGACCTGTCATATGCCCTACCGCTCACAGTCCTCTACAAATATGAGACAGACCTTGCGCATGGAAACTACTATCCTATCCCAGAAGGAGAAAAGGCTTTCCTCGCACACTCCCCAACAGCCCAGCCAATGAGAGGATCACAGCTCTCAGCCCAGCCCATAAGAAGCAACTAAACTTCAAACTCCCAGTTTTCTTCAGTGGACTTTTTGTTTTTAAGAGCCTTCCCAACTTCCACCTTCCCCTAATAAGCATATTCCTCTCCTTTGTTTGGGAGACTTGCCTATGGTTTTGCCATAACTTGCTTGACCAGGATTGCAGTTCTCTTGCGATTCCTAAATAAACCCATCTCTTGCTGGCAAAATAACTGGCAGTTTTATTTTTATGGTTGACACTATACTGTACACCTGAAATTAATATGTCAACTGGACTTCAACTAAAAATATTAAAATAAATAAAATTGTGTTAAAAAAATAAATGAATGAATACAAACATACATAAGTTTTCTGACCCACCACCTTTGCAACAACCAGCAGAAGCCAAACCACAACCACTGTAGCAACCGGACCAGGAGGGTCAAGACTCAGTAAAAACTGCCATCGTTCCTAACTTTTGCACCTGCTTCCAATTTGGGGCCAATCAGCTTTCCCACTCCCTTGCCTGCCTTTAAGCCTCAGCCAAATGCAAGTGATGGTACCACCAAGCTCTGAATAAATAGCCTTTGCTTGTTCTCATTTGGGTGGCTTATTTTATTTCCACACACCCGCCTCCACCAGCACCCCAGCCCTTCACAATCTTCTCCACTCTGCAGTGAGGGAGCCTGCTAAGAGCGCTCCAAATTCCCTATGGCTCCCGCCACCCTCAGGACAGAGGTTGAGCTTACCATTTTAGGCTAGAATTCTCGCCCTCTGCTGCCTCCACCAGAAAGGAATGAGACCCGTGGTGTGTTGAACACAGCTCAGCCTCACCTCCAAGCATTTCTACCTGCCTAGGATGGGTTTATCTCTCTGGGTCCTACTGGGGAATCTCTCCACATAACTGCTTGCTTGGACTGAGTCCATGTCCTCAGGGTGCAGAGACACAATCTCGGGGATGGAATAAAGGAACAAATATTCCATTTGGGGGAAGGTGAGCACACAGCCATAAGCTTAGCAGTCCTCACTGAAGCCTGTAGATAAAACAAGAGTAGCAGCACAATGGCTGGAGATGGAGATGCTAGTGCTCCCCTCGGTCACTCTACACCCCTAGAAACCAACATACCACATAGAGGTATATTAATCTTACAGCACAGGGACAAGAAAAGCAGCAGCCAAAAGAGCCACCACAATGGCTGCCATTTTGGGCCTGGACCTTGTCATGGTGTCCCGGGTCTGTGAAGACCTCCACTCGTGGTGCAAGTGGACTGTGGGCTCTGTCCTCCTCTTTCATCCTCTCGTCTGGGGTGGGGGTGGGGCTCCCAAGTGTTGTGATCCTCCTCTGGAACCAGGTCACACTCACTGGCTTCACCCTGACATTTTGGTGCAAGTTCACCACCTCCTTCCTCGTCTTTCTGAATGCCATCAGTGGCCTTCATATCAACAGCATCACCCATCCCTAGAGCCAACCAAAGAAATTTCAGGACCCCCTCCTAAATCTGAGGACAGCAGGTTCTACAAGAAAGTGTGGTCAAGATGGGACTTTTCCAGCATGTGAGCTCTGGTGGGGGTAGGGGTGGGACAATGCCCTTGACACTGCTGCCTCTTAACCAGTAACCTTTGTGTGGTTGGCCAAAATCAGCCCAGTGGCCTTTGCTGCTGACATGTAGGGCCAGGGGCCAGAAGGGTGCCTCTGTTCCACCAGCTGCACAGGCTTAATCAAGTTATTAGGATGTTGATTTTAGAAGAAGTAACACATTTTAAAACCCTTTCCTTGAATCCTTCTTCCCAGGATGGGAATAGATTTGGAAGCAGCTTGGGTAACCGGTGCCCAGGCTGGCTGCACAGCTAAGTGCAGTTCACCCCTGCTTCATTGACTATGTGTTGGCATAGAGGCCGTAGAGTCCCTGGAGTCCCCTGGGGTTGCCCAAAGCGGATCATTCTTGCAGCTAAGCATAAGCAGTCGGTGCCCATGACTCTTCCACAGCTCAAAGAGCCTCTGTGCACATTTCCCTGCTACAGCTTTGGTCATGTTAGGGAGACAGAATTTAGAATTCCCTTGATTTCTTGCACACAGGTTTTCATACCATTTGACTTAATTTGAACCCTGCCCTTTGTGGGGGGGCTCCATTATCTCTGAATATCCATAGTTTCCAGCAGTCAGCTATCCCCTCTGCCTGTGGGAATCCTGCCTTAACTGTTTGAGCAAGGCTCCCAGGATGGCCCACCTGCCTTCCAATACACAGTCCTCTCTGAAAACAAACAAACAAAACAATATAGCCACCACAAAGAAGAGACTCTGGAAGACCTGCTGTGACTGAAGCAATGGCAGGAAGACTCCCTCTCCTGGGCCATCACTGGCCGGGAGCTGCCACCTCACGTTGCAGAGCCTTCTGGGTATTGTAGTAACCACCATTCCACAGGGCTCAGAAAAGAAGCCAGGGTGGTCAGAAGGTGGAAAGCAAAGGAATCATTTATTGAAAGCCTAAGGTACGCTGAGTTTGCCAGTTGCTCCCAAGCCACATTTTGCGCTTCATGCCTCCTCTTCAAGTCTCCAGCAGGTGGCCCATGCCCTAAGCACGAATGAACTGTCCCTGGGTATTTTGGAGGTTCAGGATTTGTATATCTCAGCCTCACCTTTCCTAATTGTTTTAAAGATTTATTTATTCGAGAGAGTGAAAAAAGAGAAAGAGAGAGAGAGCATGAGCAGGTGGAGGGGCAAAGGGAGAGAGAGAATCCACAAGCAGACTCCCGGCTGAGTGGGGAGCCAAACCTAGAGCTCAATCCCAGGACCCTGAGATCACGACCTAAGCCAAAACCAAGAGTCAGACGCTTAACCCACTGAGCCACCCAAGTGTGCCTCAGCCCTCCTAATTTGGGACACGAGGAGAACAGTTTCACCTCCGTGATATAAAATGAAAAATGAAGACAAAACCTCCCTGGCAGACCTCTCTGATGATATTTAAATGTTCCTCACACATAACGCTCCATTTATTAAAATGGCAAGAAAAAACAGTACCTACATCTTGGTGATGTTATATATAAAGCACTAAAAATAAGGCACACAGTTAGCGCTGGATACGAACCTCATCACCACAAAACAGGGCTCTCATGTACCCATGTGGTGGAAGGTGAGTCCAGATTGCCTATTTGCAGAATTAAAGACAGTATCTATCAAACTTCACACATACCCCAGACCAACAAGTAGCCTTAGCAAGAATGATTAAAAATTTTACAGGATGGCATAGTGTGTACAATCTGTGACATTCGAAATTATTCCAAGAAAGAAGTTACCAAACATACAGAATGCTTTTGTACATTTCGGGTAGCCCATTGCACAAAGGATATGTTTTTCTAAGC